CTGTGAGCCGTCTTGTGACGTCTCGAGCCAGGCACAGGGCGAGTCACATGGACTCTAGCCTGGAAGGTAAGATGGATGGACACCACCAAGTTTGATCGTCAGTGACATCATGGTGTCATCTGATACCAATAATGCTCGGTAGGCAGCGATGCTCAGACTTGAAGACGCCTCAGATCCTCAGATTGGGGGAGCTAAGGCTCACTAGGTAGAGCAGGACGGTCCTCATTGGTAAATCGCATTTTACGTCGAAGGAACCCCATTCTGACATTTAAGGTGTCGTAGATTCAAGAAGACATATCTAGCTTCCCCAATACGTGAATTGGCCTCGGTGGTTATGTGCCCGTCGCTGCTGACGCAGTTGAAACGTAAATGAAGTGATCTACCTCAAGTTCACCACTATCCAGAGTCAATAGCTAATCGAGTGGTAGTTGGTCAATCAACAACACTACTTTGAAAATGCGAAGCGCATGTCAAATGATGGGATCGCCATAGAGCGGTCATTCAGGGTTGACTGGGCCACCACAACCTCGGTAAACAGCATGACAATATCGTCCGAGTAACCAAGACCAACAATTTTTCATAAGGTAACACCCCAACGCCTTCATTGTGAGATATCGAAAGGAAACGCACCATGGTGAAATCAATAAGAAATTTAATCAAAAGGGGGGTAATTGGGAAACCCTGATTCAAGGCGAGCCACTCTACCAGATAATCGAGGATTCTTGTGAGACCATCTTCTGCTTGCTTCCAATAACCAGCCGGGTTTCAATCAAAACTCGCAACTTTTTCGTAGACCTAACGATCACCCACTTATAAGATGCATCGGTTGTACTTGACACGCTGGTCATCATGTTTTCAAGGTGTTGTGAAATCTATTACCTAGTTGAACCGATAGAAGTTATACAACACAACAGGAAGCCATCAAGTATTCCTGTTCGGCCGGTGGCCGAAAGGATTGCACGCCTGGTCTGCAATCGTTAGGTCTGTGGTTCGTATCCGCGTAGGGGCGGGCGTTCTCGTGGTATATTCAGTCCACGCGCGACCGGTGGCGTTCACATGTCAGCGAAGCGTCAATACAGTGTGCCGGCCTACTGCTGATAACTTGACTTTGATGAACGCGACTTGTACGAAAGCTGTGTTCACGTCTCGGACTTGAGCCTACGAAAGAGTATGTAGACTAACAGGCCATGGCTCAGTCTGGAGCATCTGGGTAGAAAAGGGGTGCGGCAACAAAGCACAAGCTTCACATAATGCTCCGCCCAACGAGACACATGGCGCTCCACATCGTGAGTCAGGGAACTCACACTGTATGTTTCAATGGCGCTTGGTTACCTGGGATCAGTGGCACAGATCAGTTGGAAGAATTTGAGATAGTTGCCTACTGCTTCCGCCTCCTCCATTTCTTGGGGGCCCGGTGGTCCACCAAGCTTCCTTGTCAGTAAAGAGGCTCCGCTTTAGTTCGCACCTAAACGTCCATCTGGTCCCATTGTGCTCAGAACTAGCATGGAGTTTTCTTCTGCATCCCAACAGGCTCATCAGCCTCTAGGATATCCAGTGGATAGTACGGTGACGATTGATAGGGCCACAAGCAGCGACTTCCGCATCGTGCATGGTGGCCGAGCTCCTATTCCACTGAAGCTGTGTCATTAGTGCAAGAAAACGAATGTTCGATACGCAAGGCATCATGCTAGACTTACCTGATCGAAGATTGAGATAACTTCTCGGTTACCAATGGAAGGAGACGCTTAGTACGCCAGAAGGTACAGTTCAGAAAAAAACGACAGTGTATCAAGGTATCATCAGAGTCAACGCAAGTACTCCAAAAAAATCGACAATCCAGAATGGGACCACGCCGCCTGTAACTATGGGAAAGTGAACATGTTGGGTCCATCGCTGGTCAGCTATAGATGGACATCAAGTGGAACTTGGGCACCCACTGGGTCTAAAAGCGGTGCTACTAGCAGCTGAGGCTTTGCGCACATTTGCAAGAGATGCTCGATGTTGTCCGTCCGGTCGAATTTAACTTCATACCAATTCCCTAATTTAGCTTCTGAAGAGCCTAGACGGCCTACTTGTACATTCACACCCCACAACAACAACCATGTCTGATAATACTGAGCTCACGCATTGCAAAGGCCAGAGCTGCCTTCTTGAACCTGCGGCATCTTTGGCGACAGAAGGGAGTTTCCCTTCGTCTGAAAGGCCGTGTATACAAGGCCACAGTGAGGGCCGTTCTGCTCTGTGATAGTGAAACTTGGCCCCTTCTGTTTGAAGATCTGAGGCGCCTTGAAGTCTTTGATCATCGTTGTTTGCGAAGCATTGCTGGTGTCGGATGGCACCAGCGTGTCCGCAACGATGATGTGCGTAGGCGAGTACTAGGTAGTGATAATCATGCTAGCTCCCTAGAACAACAGATAGCACTGAATAACTTGCGTTGGCTCGGGCACGTGCTACGCATGCCTGGTCACCGCTTACCTAGGAGGGCCTTGTTCAGTCTACCAGGTGTCGGATGGCGCAAGGCTCGAGGTGGACAGAAGTTGACTTGGCAGCGGGAAATGAAGTCACTGACAACTAATCTGGCTGCCGTTGGCCCGTCTCGCCTTCCGGGTTGGAGTCCACGTGACTCACCTTGTGCTTGGCTTGAGACTTTACAGGACATGGCTCGCAACCGACACCAGTAGCGCGTCTGCTGCCATCTCCTAATCGGATTGTCTGTTTAAAGTGTGTTTGGTGCTGAGTTATCTGCGGGGTAATGGCTGATTATGACGCGTGGCAGTGAAAGCCGCAAGGAAGTTGTCTCGCCGATGCCGCCTTATCTTTGCACGATAGCCAGCTGTTTGTGACGGTATGTTGTCTACACAAGGTGTAGGCGCCTTGACCCTGAATGTTTGCTTATGGCATTAAGGTTTTCAGGTAAGTTCCCCTTCTCTCCCTCTTCTTATTCTTTATTTCATAGGTCCTCGTGGTTGTATGGCAGCGAAGCATCAGTTCAAATGGCTGATGTACTGCTGTTGATGATGATTATGATGATGGTAATATCGGGAAGCAGCGTGTTCAGTTCGCGCTAGGCCTCTCTTACAGCAGCTGAACTACATCTCATGGAAGGCATAAGTGGAGGCCACTAAAACGGCATCTCGTACTACTTCATGAATTAAAGTGTATGCCAAACGGACTGCACACAAACGACTGCTCACGGAGATCCACTCAAGAAATGATGATTCAGCTTTGGAGCAGAGAACAATGCCCATCCCAGCTTGACCAGTAGCTGCTGCACCAGCGTCTCCGGATGAGTGCAATCAACAGTGAGAGCATAAGCCAGGCGCAGTTAGTTCAACAATCCCGTGAGGGATGTGCGTGCAACTGCAGTCTGTGGACCTGTCTTAGAGTGACGACGTTGGAATTTGCCAGGGAGATGGGACAGCGTGGCCTTATAAGTGGCTGTTGATGCTAAGCGTGTAGGTGCGGGAAGGTATTTGTAAACGACAAGACTGCAGGGTGATAGCGGATGCTTTCAGTTAAGCCTGAAATTATAGAAAGTTAGTAATTAAGGCCGGGAGAGGAGTAACAAAAACAAGTGAAAATGAAGGAATGCGTCAGTAGTGGGGCGTTTTGACCAATGTTCACCGCTGTATGCAGCAGATTAATCGCCACTTTAAAAGCTGTGCGATTACCGACGCGTGGTGTTGCGATGTTGGTCAAAATACTGATGGTTATGCGTGGGGTGATACTGATATGGCGCCAAAACCTAGACATAATGATTAGAGCCCTTAACCAATGTTTAGCTCAAAAGCTCGTCCGCAAAGCCGGCCATTGGCTTTAAGGATCGCAAGACTGGTTTATAATCCTGAGGTCGTGGATTCTAGCCTTCCTAGGGAACAGGGCGACCATCGCAGTATCCTTAGCCCAAGCGAGACGTGGTGGTTACGCTGCAGAGAACCATTGGTACTGCATGACGGTTTACTACTGATGTCTTGCCCGCAATGCAGCGGGCAGCTGGTAACGATTCGGTTTAACAGAAATGGACGCCATCCCATTTCCAATCTTCAACCTGAAGGACCAGGAGACGGATTTTGTCCAACGCTGACAAATCTAGTAGAAGTAGCTTTCAAGGAGCCCGGAGGCACCACCTGGTATGGATCAGAGTCCAAGAAGTGGGCAAACCATCGCACCACATTAAGGTCCGGTCTCGTTGCTATCTTATGCCGCATTATACGCACAAGTTTGTAAGTCGTCTGTGACCATACGTGGATTATATGATGCAGATACTATGATTATGAATACTTGCTAATGGCACCACTCTAATGCTACCTTCCATGTCCGTAGAGTTGAAGCCGGTGCTACATAGTGACACACTACTGTGTATGGTTAACTAAAAGAAACGGATCAGTTATCAATGCTTGGTGCATGCTTGCGTTCCCTATCGCTGCAGACACTTGTTTCATTGGAGTCGAGCAGCGTTTCGGCGGCAGCAGTCAAAGATGTAAGGTGCTCAATGTGAGCAGAACAAATCTCTGCTAATCGTACTGCTTTTGGTGAAATTATATATATATATATATATATATATATATATATATATATATATATATATATATATATATATATATATATATATATATAATCGTTTCGTCATATAATTGTTTTGACATTCGTTTTGTATTGATAACCTTGGAATTCACGTAAACTTTCAAGCTAGTCTAACGGTGTCATCGTGACATATTCTAATTGTTGTGCAGGTTTGGAGCCAGCACCGGTTCACATATTTCCGGCACTTATCGGTTTAATGTCACTACTACTCTTTTCTGTATACTTTCTTACCAGCTGAATTCCCATATGTGCTTTCTACGTCTATCGCGATTTCTGCATTTGTACTTTTCACTTGTTAACTAGCATGCACATGCTGTCACATTCGGTCGGTTACACCATCTATGAAATTCTTGTTACTCTCTAGACTCCGTCGTGACTCACTTATCCTTCTCTCTGTCTTCCACTCCCCTTTATAGATTATCGTTGGATCGCAGCAAAAACCTTAGTATTGACTGGTTTGCTGGTTGCCGTGGCCTCATTCGTGTTGCACCTTGCGATTAGTTGTTGTTGTCCTACACCCAAATGGACAACGGTAGTGTTTGAAGTTATCGGGTTACTAATAGCTGGTGAGTGTACATCCTTTCAGCTTACATACCCTCATTGTGGTGAACTCGCTACTCAATCAACTTTGGTTGTATGGATAATAACTACGATTACTTTGGAAACTGATGCCTCTAGTTTTTCTGATTCAGCTTTCGTTTGAAGCGTCAGGTACTTGATCGATAATTCTCATTCTTAAAATGTTTGGCACACTTATCCGGATGTGTGAGTCGTTGAGTTTCGAGCATATAATGAGCGCACTTAGTCAATACTTTATCGAATATCTTAGTAGAGAGGACTTTTATTAACAGTGTAAGCTTCACAATTTGTGTAATGGTATGTTCTCTCGTCATTATGGCGATTGAATGAGGTTGATTGCGTTGACTGACTCAGCAATAACAGTAGAGGTAGAGCTTCGTTGCGATTCGTCGTTCCTGTCAGTCCCTGGGAGATATCTCCCTGTTTCTAAGAAAATAGCAGAGATGAATACTGATTTAGTTTGACCTAGCTACACTTGGTCACCATTCAGACTTGATTTTCCCACACGTCACCAACATTCCCATCTCTGTCGGCACTTAGCTGATGTGCGGAAGCAGCGCGGTATCGGTGAGAAGTCGTCCTTGCGGCTTTGACTGCATCACGTCATAATCAACTTCCTAGCACAGATGACTGCCACTTGCATATTGTAAACTGACCATCAGTCTCGAAGGCGACGGTAGTCATGGCACTCACATGCCGCAGAGGTATCGCGACGTCTATCACAATGCACGTAACGTAGATGCTAGCATGGAAGGCGGACCGGATTCACAGAACCGTGCCCAATGGTCAGTGACTTCAGATCCCTCCGTCATCTGAATAATTTCCCCTTCTAGAGCATAATGTCATCCGACACCAAGCAAAGGCAAACCTCTTTTAGATAACCAGTTGTCAAGCCTACTCAGTACGTGCTCTTACTTACTGATCAACCGAATTGACAAGGTAAACACCGGCCAATACTCACCTGCGTTCCCTTCTGTCTCGGGCATATTGGTGCCACACGAGTCCAATGATCCTACATGGGCGGCAATGGAGTTCGCAAATCGAAGGGACCGGAGCTCACTACCGTAGCGGAGAGCGGCCCTCACTCTGTAGCCGTGTGCAAAATCTTTACGGCCCTAGACGACCCCCCTAACACTGAGTTTGCGCAAACGAGCTAGACACAACACAATGCCGCACACCGTATTTTTCTCTGGTTTCATCGTCCGTTTCATTTGTTTAAAATGTTATAGCCTGGTTTAGGATACAATTGTGACTTTAAATTGGTTCCAAAATCCAGGCTTATCCTACCAGGTCAACATGGTCTCACATTTAAGTCTTATTTTTGGTCCTTGTCTTAGGTTACTACGTATACCAGCCTTGAGACCGATTACGTGTGCAAATGAAGGTTTTGTTTGCGTATGGGGCTATATAATATAATGCTTTTTGCTTTTAAACACTTACATCATACTATGGTGAGGGTAAACTGGACCATAATTTTCTTCCCTTGCTGCTGTGATACGTAGGAGAGTTTCCAGTATTTGTACTGAATTTTTTTGCAGCGCGGAGTGCTGACCACCAAGGATTTAATTGTTGTTGGTTGTCGCGGGATGCACTTTACGCAGTAGGATGTTACGCTTGGTACACACGGAATTTGCCTTTGCATAGTTGTCTGTCACCAAGTGCGCAAAATTCATACTACCCGATTCACCTTTTACCTGCCATATACTTACTCAACTCATATTCTTCTGACTCATCCACCTTTTAACTAGTCTCGCGTGCGCAGTACAGTGAACACTGCCGGTCTACTACGCAACGGCTGAAAGTAAGCCTTCGATCTGATCGTGAATCTTGGTGGTTAAAACAAGCTGATGAGATGGAAGATGCTGCATCAGCTGGCAACTTCTGCCGTCTACTTTGCATCATCAGGGCCACCGGTTGCGATTCCCACGCTATCAGCCAGACGCTTTGCGAACCAGACAGCACGAACTCACCAACATTCACAGGCGATTGGGTCGCTGGGCAGAGCATTTCGCTCTTCACTTCAACCACCCAACACAACCCCCTGTGACAACTCCAGCCCTAATGGATGATGCTTGGCCTGCCTCCACAGCCATCCCCCCAATTGAAGCAGAGATCCGAAATGCAATGCAATCTTTGAGACGCCACAAGACTCCGGGTCCCGACATCCTACCGCCGGCTTTATTCAGAAATGGCGGGTGTGTACTTGTCAGCGAAATCCTATCACTTTTCACGAAACTTTGGACTAAGGAGGTTCCGAACTCATGGGGAGATTCGGTCATTGTTCCGATTCACAAGAAAGGCTCCCACGACGACTGCTGCAATTACCGCGGAATCTCCTTGATCTCTGTCGCATCCAAAGCAGTGTCGGTCCTACTTCGCAGTCTATCGACGACTAGAGAGGAGATTTCCCGAGAAGAACAAACCGGATTTCGTCCAGGCCGCGACTGCATCGACCAAATCTGCACGCTTCGCCAACTTCTCTAACTTCGTCACATCCACCGACGGCCAACAATTGTAGTGTTTTTGGACATCCGAGCTTCATTTGATTCAGTAGATAGATCTGCGTTGTGGAACTGTTTACTGAAGGAAGGTGTGCCCAACAAGTTTGTAACCATCCCGAAAGAAGTTTACAGTCATACATTGGTCAAAGTCAGGACTTACAGCACGCTCTCTTCTTCGTTTGCTGTGACCAGCGGTGTTCGCCAAGGTTGACCTTTTTCACCTGTGCTCTTCAATTTCGCCATCGAAGATGTCCAAAGAGCACTGGAAGGTGTCTAGAACTGTGGTTTTGAGCTCCTCCCTGGAGACAGAGTCACGGACTTGAACTATGCCGATGGTATCACCTTGCTGGGGGACGACTCACAAACCGTCCATGACGCTTTGGACGGCTTAGCGATGGAGTCGTCTCAGTACGGTTTCTGCTTCACTCCGGGAAAATGTAAAATGCTGCTCCCGGACTGGCAGGTGCCTGAACACGCGCTCACCATTGATGGGCATGTTCTGGAGCAAGTCCCTTGCTTTACTTATCTGGGGAGTCGCATCATGGCTGGTGATGGTGTTGGAGATGTAGTCTCACAACGGATTGCAAAGGCCCGCCTTGCATTCATCAAACTGAGACACCTATGGCGTTGTCGTGATATCAGTCTCAAGGTCAAGGGCAGGGTGTACAATGCTTCCGTCCGTGCAATACTCTTGTACGGCTGTGAGACTTGGCCTATTCGCTCGGAAGACATGAAGCGGTTCTCAGTCTTCGGCAGTTGCTGTCTACAAAGGATTGCTCGGATGTGGTGGCAACACCACCTAAACAACGCATAGGTGCGAGACCGAGTGCTTGGAGCGAGTAGTGCCAGTCTTCAGGACGTTGTTCTCCGCCATCGTATGCGTTGGCTCGGGCACGTTTTGCGCATGCCAGCGCATTGCCTACCACATCGAGCGCTATTTGCACTCCCAGGAAGCGATTGGAAATAGTGCCGCGCTGGACAGCCAATGAAGTGGAGAAGGAGGATGAAGAAGGCAACCTCAAGTTTGGCGGCAGTTGGACCAGTCCGTCTTCCAGGTTGGGGACCACGAGATGCTGAATCTCAGTGGTTTGAAACTTTGGACGTCATTACGAACCATGAATGGATCGTTCCCTGCCACCCGCAATAAAAACATCAGAATCCCAAAAATTTGCTTGTTTTTTCATTTAACCTAATTCTGTTTTCCTATTCCGCGATGGTTTCAATGGCACGATATCTGTACACAGATTGTGTGCGATATATATATATATATATATATATATATATATATATATATATATATGTATACGCATGTAGAAACACTTTCTTCAAGTGGTCTTGATTTTCACTATCTCGAAATAAGCTTGAACCGATGGAAGTTTCCAAATTTCGGAAGGCTTCGAGTGTAAATCGGTTTTGTATATGTTTGTAATCTGGCAACATGTTGCTTCTGACACAAAATCGAAGCGTTGCAAAATTGCATACTTAACCTAACAAATATGTACTCAATATCTTGTGTGCTCAGTTGTGATATTTGGCCTTGTCTCTGTGTGCACGAGCTTTCCGTTTGATCCTGTCGGTCGTGCGGCTTTACTTCATCCTACTGAACTGTTGTGAAGACGCAAAAACGTCATCATTACATCCTTGTCATCTGCTAACTATAACTACTTTTTCTCCCTTGCAGTAATTGCCATATTGATTGGCCTTAGTTTGGCCGAAAGTGAAATTGAACATATTCACGATCATGGGGACAAGATGCTTGCAAACCTATTGGCCACCAATAATCTACTTACACACCCCGCCTCGGAAGCACCTGATTTCATGCAAGATCGAAATGTAGTGTCACCACTACTGCAGGGCGCTTCCACCGAACACAAGGCTACTTTAGATGCCGGAGATTTCGCCCTGTTCCTCACTCCACCTCAGATTAGTTTCGCTCTCCTTATTGCCGCCGACTTCTTGCTACTTATCGCGTTCCTCGCCGTATTGATTTATTTTGTTCGCCTGTGCGAAAAAGCAGTGTTATTGCGGAAACAAATGCACACCGCTGCGATTATTGATTCTTGAGAATCGGACGCCTCCCCATTTTGAAACCGCGCCATTGCCATACTGTTATTTTGTGCCTTTTTATCTCCCCATTCGATATCGTGTTTTTCGACCGGCATCCTCTGGTCCATCTGTAATTATGACAGCTTTACATTAGGTTAATATTCAGAACTCCGTTTGAAAGAGCTGCTGAGAAACTTACTTGTTTGCATCTTGTGCTATTTTCGAAAGACCTCTTCCCCCACATCTGTGTTCACTATAGCTTCATCAAATTCAAATTGATCACGCATTTGGTCCTTCACTTAACGCACACTCTTTCGTCTTTCGCGCCTTCTCCTGGCTAAACAACATTGATCCTGTTTTGTACCGCACACCCGAACCTCACCATCTTATCCACACATGTCACGCTTACCCGTCTCACTTTTTAAAGTTTTCTTTCGGTTTAGCCGTGTGGTTTTGTGTGTGTCCATGCATTATAAATTTCTGTGTCGGCCGATGCCATACGAATTTACGCATTTTTGACTTGTACGAGGCTGTGGTTTGGCTTTGTCTGACAAAATACCAACTGCAGTTACACGGGCAGAGCACACTTCGTCATTCGGTGACTGTTTGTGATCCCTGTTATGTCACTCCAGATGTACCTAGCTGAACAAGTTTTTCGTTTTTCGTTGCTCATAGTTCATCCTACTGAGTGCCATACTGTTTTTATATTTGATCCCTCTCGCCGCACTTTGAGGGATGCGAATTCGATGTTGTGAATATTTATCCGTCAGAGAACTCTTGACCCAATTATCACGGTTCAGTTGAATTTCGTTAACCCGATCTTTCCACGAACAATGGTCTCCCGAGGTCTGGATTTTCGGGGATTATTTATTGTTTCGCATATGCGTGCTATGCTGTTTTTGTGTCTGCTGAGTTTGACAGTCATCCCTTGCACATGAGTAGTCATGGTATGTTTTGATTGCCATGTGGATCGGATCATTTGCTGCCGGGCCTGACGCACTTATGGTCCAAAGGTGTTTATGCAGAAGTGACTACATCACTGCACTGCACCATCTTCCCTATAAGTAGCTCACGCAATGCATCCTCATTGGGCAAAGCTTGACTTTTCTTGCAAATACAACTGCCATGTGGGTTTTACAATGCTGTTCGAGCTGAGTAATTATTTTGCAGACGTTTCACTGCCAGATTAGGCAACATCATCGGCGGCTTTAAGGTCCTGTTTCGTAGAGCCTCGTAAGCAACTTCGAGATCTAAGTGCTTATTGATCGAGTTCTGTTTTAGATACCAGACTTCAATAAACGCGCGTGTTTGCCGGCTTATGGCACTTCCGAGGATGCCGGCGTGCTCCAAGTCGAACTGGTGGCATTTGGCATCCATATGCACGGACCTCGAAGTTTTTTTTATCATGACGGCGGATGGCTAGGTTATGTTCATGTAGCCGTGTGCCAAGCTTTCTTCCTGTTTGTCCTACCTAGTAATTGTAACAGCCTCGGCAGCATAGCTTGTAGATTACACCAGATGTTTCCCACTTGCTAAGTTTATCCTTCACTTTGGAGAGCTTATTTCGTATGGTTTTCGTTGGTTGGTGAGCAATTTCGACTCCTAAAGTCAACTAAACTCTCGCTGCCATTTCCGAGATTCCGTTGACGTAAGTTAACACGGTTTGCTTTTTAGTCTTTGCATTTGTTGAGGTGTGTTGTGTTGCTTTATGTGGGGACAAGCAGCGCCGAATGAAGCCTTTCTGGTACGAACTCCGTTTGAACAGGCTGAAGAGTTGGTCTTCCTCCTCCTGCCTCAGCTGCTGTGTGCTACAATGTGTCCGTGCTCGTTTGAAAAGAGTAGGCACGCAGCTGCGCTTGTGAACTGCCAGATTATTACTATTGTAGTTGAGGATCTGGTCCGTATGTGTTCATTTTCGATAGACCGTCGTTTCGAGTGGTCCTGAACCAGTCCTACGTATGAGAACGTCCGAAAATGGTAGCTGCCTATCGTTCTACTATTCCCTCGTGAATTGGATGTCGTCGAACGCACTGTTGATTAGCTCATGTTTCTATTCTTGTTCGGAGCGTTTGAGGATGACGAATGTGTCGTCTACGTAGCGCATACAAAGTTTCGCTTTCGCAATTGGGAGTGCTATTCATTCTAACGTCTGCATCACTGTTTCGGCTACCAGTCCAGAAATCGGCGATCCCACCGGTGTTCCTCTTATTTGCTGGTACGTTTGGCCGTTGAAAGTGAAGTGTTGTTAGATAGAATCCCAGCAACTCTATCATTTGTCCGGCATCTATTTTACTAGTTGTGTCGAAAGCCGAGTGTTCATCCAGTAGAGCAGCCATTGTTTGTTTTGCCAAGTTGATGTCAATCGATGTGAAAAGCGTCGTCACATCAAAAGAGACCATTATTTCTTCTTGTTCTATGTTTGTGCTTTTGAGTTTCGTTAGAAACTCTTCTGCCGAGTTGATCGAGTGTTCTGATCCCGCAATTAGACGTTTTAGTCGTTTCCAGAGTTGTTTTGCAAGTCTGTAGTTTGGTGCTCCAGGTAGCGACACGATGGGACGGAGGCACTTCACTTTTGTGTACTTTTGATAGACCGTAGAATCGCGATAGTATAGAATCTTGCGGTTTCATCAATTTGTGTTCTAATTTTGTGATACGCCCCCATTTGTTCTAGTTTTAGCAGAGTGCGCTTGATGTTGCCTTCTAAGGTTCTTGTCGGATCTTCACTTAACAATTGGTATGTGTTAGTGTCGCTGAGCAGATATTGTGCCTTCATCATGTAATCGGTTTTGTCCAGTAGAACTGTTAGATGACTTTTGTCGGCCGGCAGTATAACTCTGCTCTTGCTTTTTTGAGACTCGTCAGAGCTTTTTGTTCCGTGGCGCTGAATATGTTGGTTTCAACTTTATGATTGATAGCCGGGATGATCCGGTGTCAGATCTCTTGTTGTGTCTCAGGTGCGGTGTTGTTTGACCTTGATGTTCACTGTGCAGCGAGGAAATCGATGGGATTGCAGTCCTTGATATTGAGCTGCATACCCCAGACAAAGACCGCTCTTAGATAGGTTCCTAATCCACCCATTTTCTTCCATAATTTTCTTTTGTTGCGGAAGTATATTCAGCTTCTCTTCAAGCTTACTTTTGGTGTTGAATTTCGTTTTGTGTTTTGACTGCTATCGCCTTTACGAGCTTGTCTCGTAATCTTGCAGCGCTGTTTCGAATTTGCATGGAGGTTGTCTTCTTCGCGGTATACTCAGCCCGCGTGCGACTGGTGGTGCTCGCACGGCAGCGAAGCGCCGTTACGGCGTCCAGCTGATACATTATTATTATTTATTAATAAAGGCTAAATGAACCATCGGTTTCTTGTGTTGATCGTTCGGAATACATGAAGTTAAACCTCAGCTAGGTACGGCGTGTTTTGTCTATATTGGCGTGTGCGGTAGAATAGATCTTAAGAGGGTACAGTGGCACTTCTCTGCTCTACTAGTATGGCCCGTCGTGAATGAGGTCAAGAGCTTGGTCTTGACCTTTTATGGTTGCGGAGGTTGATATGCAACCTTTGTTTTCTCTATTGACTCAACGACCCCTCTATGCATGTTGACCTCGATAGCGTGCACGTAGATACCAATGAACGGCACCAATTCAGAAGCAATGAAGTGAAGCTTCATTTGTCGAGGTGCCGCACCAATTGATGATGTATTCCGACATACGGAGAAAATTGCAAAAACCCAAAAGGTCGATTAAACCACTTACAAGAAACACCATAACACGTATTGGGCTCAATGGTGAGTTGGTGATTTGAAATTGCTGTAGGTAACAGCAAAAGGAGGTAATTAGAAAAACCACTGGTTATCTGCGGAACTGGAAGGAGAGGAACACGAATACACTGAAAATAAAACAACGAAAAATCTTACAGGTACATGAAAAGTTGGCAGATAGTAATAGTGGCCTTTGCTACCGCTCCATATCACACAGTGGATACTGTGACAGCAGTACACCAGCAACTTGTTCTGATATCTTTAGCATACAAATGCAATGACTAGTAACAATGAGAGAAGTGAGGCTGAATATACAACACATATAACTTAAGCGTTCAGAATTGGGACACTTGCACGCAGTCACAAACAGCTGACCGTTGTAGGGGAATGGGGCATCATCTGCCAGCCACGTTTTCGGGGTAGACACTACTAGATTTCCTGATCGACCTTATCCAACAGGGTTTAACATCAGATACACAGTAAATAGGTGATCAAGTCAGGTATCAATAACATGCGTCACGGGTACGGATCGCGAGCTGTGCGCTGCAATGATTCGATTGGAGAGTGGGGATCATTTGTGTTATAGTCACCAAGATTTCCCCGGCTACTCCGATCGGCTGTTCGCGGAAGCCTGCCTGCCCCCGATTGGCCGATCAAGAAGTCAAGGTCGTAGTCACAGTGTGCTCCTAACAGTTTGTTCCCTAGACCAGGAGATGAGACGTACCGATATCACCCAGTCTATCGTTAAAAGCTTTCCTTCCTAATTCCAATTCAAGGATCCCCCTCCGAGCCTCTGGTTATCCTAGATCTTGCAAATAAAATAATGCCCCCTCGTGCAGCGTTAGATCGGCGCACTCAGCACCTACCTAATCAGTTATGTTGGATGCTATAGGACACTAATCCGAGCACGCCTTCTACTCCTTGCTTACCCCCGCCACTAGCACTGTTCCGTAGATAGCAATGGTTAAAGGCTGAAGTTTCGGACCGAGAATGCGTACCTCATTTCCGTCTGGCAGAACCGTCTTAACTATAGTTATCCACACACGACTTTTACTTCCAAGAGGACTTCTAATGTTAGATATGCCGTAACTTTATAGAAGCAGTTTAAACTGTTGATTTCAACATTCGTACTCCCATCGCTATTGATGCAGCCGTCAAGATAAGGGAATTAATCGACTATCTCCAGTTCTTCGATATCATAACACGAGGGGCTAGAAGCTGATTGGTGGTCCTACACCAGTGCTATGCAAAGTGTATGTAAAAT